AATATCTAGACAAATGGTAGGTTAATCTCTAAATTATTGAGTAATTAGACCTTCAAATTTGTAATAACCAGACTTTTGCTTTTCTTTTAGCTATCACTTGTCGAAAGCAAGATGGAGGACAGGCTGGCATCCATGAGTGCTTTCAGTATGCAGGCCCTGTGCCAGCTCTTACTCAAGCCTGCCAGATCCCCTGCCAAGATGACTGTCAATTTACCAGCTGGTCCAAGTTTTCTTCTTGCAATGGAGACTGTGGTGCAGTTAGGACCAGAAAGCGTACTATCGTAGGTAAGAATAAATGGAACACCACAGCCAATGCTTGTCACGGTAGAAAAACACAGTAAGTGTCAGACCAAGAGAGTTCTGACACTGTCTTTAAAAATATCTTATTGTTGCTAGACTTATACTTAATTTTTCAATGGATTTAAGTGTGTATTTTAGTGTAATTTGGCAGTGATGGGGCATTACACCTTTTAGTAGAAATTAAAGCAGCCTGACTCCCTATCCAAATGTGACTGATCATTTTTTGGTTTAAATATTTTTTTTTTGGTGTATTGCCCAGAAACTATGAAGCACTTGAAGTAAAGAGAAGAGATTGCCACTATATTTTTAAAACCTAGTCCTACTGTCCTAGGCTCAGGTCATCCTTCATCTCCTAAAAGGAGGAATGGGATGTTAATTATGTATCTGAAAACTGCATCTAAAAGTTACATTGACAAAAAACAGTTATATAACAAGCTGAGTAGGAGCCATCCTACTGAACTAGTAGGAACATTTGAACATATTATCCGTAGCAAAAGAAACCTGATTTTAAAGTTATAAAGTGACCACCAGTATAATTTTAAAGTTATAAAGTGACCACCAGTATAATTTTAAAGTTATAAAGTGACCATCAGTATAATAAAGACTGTTGAAAACTATACAAGGCAGCTTGTGAAAGTTATATACAAATTTATGCAATGAGTTATACATAATTAATTAAGAGTATAAAATATATATTACATATAATATAAAAAGTATACAAGTATATGTGATACAGTTCAAATAAATATTTGTTTCTAATAGCTCACTGAATGATTATGTGGACATATATATGCCCATATAATCAATGAAAATTATATGGTATAAAACAGTTTAAGAAATGCTGGAAATTAACTGTACTATCTGTTATTGAAATAGCAAGAAAAACTTCACATATTTTAAGCAAATATTAGAAGAGGGTAACTACTTTAAGACCTCAGAGTGATTGATCTGGGATGACTGAGAAGGGCATTGTTTCATGCAAACACATCTCCTTCTGGTAGGCCATATGGAATCCAGCTGCCTTAACTGCCGTACCCCTGGCTGGTCCAATCTTCATTTTTTATATTTTTTCCTATATAAATCACCAAGTGTGTCAAGATGACTACTCATCAGAAATACTGAGAGATCCAAAACTGTGATCAGAGTAATGAATTTTAAAAATCTCATTTCTGAATTGTGATTCTACATAATTCTACCATCAACTTGGAGTTAGCAAGAAAGCTCTGCCATCCAGGGAACTGACCTAATTTATTTTGCACATGTTATAAAGAGATCTATGTAATTACCTCAAACTCCCCAATCAGTGAAAACACAAGATCATTTTAGAGATTTTAATCACTTTCAGCAGTATAAAATTCAACAGAACAGTTAGTGTCTTATGCAAGATGGACTATGTTTAAATGAAAAGAATTAAATTTCACTATGGAAAGCACCAAATAACAATATATAGAAAGCTCTGTAGGCTAAGAATGCAGCCATTATTTATAAGCTACTGTTGAATATGGTTAAAAATGAACAGACATAAAAATGAGTAAATTTAGGAATGCTTGAAAATAAGAATGGTATTTCCAGCTTAAATTGTCTGGTGGTTTCTCTTCCACAGGAAAAAGTAAAAAGAAGGAAAAATGTAAAAATTCCCATTTGTACCCCCTGATTGAGACTCAGTATTGTCCTTGTGATAAATATAATGCCCAACCTGTGGGAAACTGGTCAGACTGTATTCTACCAGAGGGAAAAGTGGAAGTGTTACTGGGAATGAAAGTACAAGGAGACATCAAGGAATGTGGACAAGGATATCGTTACCAAGCAATGGCATGCTACGACCAAAATGGCAGGCTTGTGGAAACATCCAGATGTAACAGCCATGGTAATCAAAATTTTCTTCAATGTTATTTATTTGCTATTTTCTAGGAATATATCACAGTGGAGGGGGAATGAAAGTTTACAGAAGTGTGTTCTAAATTGGACACTACAGAATCCCATACTAAATATTATTGCTATTACAGCATATTAAATGGCATTGTCTCATTGTCCAGAAGTCAACCACTAAGTCTCAAAGATGGTGATGGGTAGTCTTATGGGACCCACATCCTAAAAACAGTATTTGAAAGGAATCTACGTGCCTTGGGGATTATCAAAAATCTGTTCATTTGATAGATCCAACTAATCTCAAAAAGTCAATATTTAGAAAGGAAATGAAGATCAGACTTGAATTCAATTTGAGATTAATGTTTTAAACTAGATAGACTTTTAGCAACCAAACTAGTAAGCTTTATAATATGCCCAAAATGTCATTAAGGAGCAGGAAAGAAAGGTAAAAAGTAGTAATTAGTAAAAACTCAAATATTTGTTTATTCTCCATTGAACTGAGATAGCCCCCTCCCAAAACAAAAGGAAGAAGAAGAAATAAAACCAAAATATGTACAAACTCCTGGGAAACTGTACATACTCTTGTTTTCTAAACCAAACATATAAACTAAATGCAACAGTAGTAATTGGGTTGCCAAAATAGTGATGCCAGTGGCTCTCTTTGATCATAGTATATACCGACCTCTTTAGTTTTTAACCTTAATATAGGCAGCATTAAACAATATTTATCCATTATTCTCTTATTTTAATATATCTGACTTTTTATAATGGAAGATCAGCTTACAGTGAGTCAACCTGAATCTTAGATGCCACATAGTTACAAACATTGGATGATCTCTTACCTTCTTGATAGAGGTGACAAAGAAGGATGAGTTCAATTGCTAGGAGCAAAGGCACCTGGAAATTACCCTGCAACCTTGCTGAAGTAACTTCTGCTGTTGGAGTGTTGCTTTTCCAGTTGTATATGTAGTTCATAAAAATAACAACAAAAAATACTGGGTTGCGGGAACCAGCAGTTAGCGTAATGGCTATGTCGCTGGACTCCCACGTAGTCGACCGCGGTTCGTGTCCCGGACCCGGTGACTTAAAACTCACGCCAGGCGCGTGTGCGTGTGTGCCCAAGATCCCTAGAGGAGAATGGAGGAGAAGGGATTGTGGCGTGACCATCCCCCCTGGGGGGTGATTTCTCGCTTTCTGTCTCTATGTCTCTCTCTGTCTGTCTGACGAGCGCACGTGCCCTACAGTGAAAATCTCTCAAAAAAAAAAAAAAAAATACTGGGCTGTCAGAAAAGCCATGACTTATTTTTGCATTAAAAAACATTAAAATAAAGTCTTGACTTTTCTGACAACCCAATAGTAGAAATATCTCGCATTTATGTTTTTTGGACTATCTGAAGTCTCTTCCTACAAAAAAGTTTCTTTGTCCTTTTTGGGGGATCTTATTTCATAGTTGATTGTGTGTTTGTGTGTGTGTGTGTGTGTGTGTGTGTGTGTGTGTTTAGGTGTGTTTGTACATATACAGTTACTTAATTAGATTCTTAGCAAGACATTTAGAACACCAGTTTATGTGAGTAAACTCCATTTGTAAGGGAAAGCACGGATCACAGGTAGCCCTGGAGCTGAGGAACAGCTTTGATTTGGGGTAAAATTTGCAAGCCCACAGCTTTTTGATCAACCTTGTGCTGCTCTATAATCTCATCTTTGTGTCAAAGATCTCACATTTTTCGTTTCTGGGCTTCCACAGCGTCTTTTTCTTGAAGTAAGCAACAGTGAGGTGTTTGGGGATTTTTACTTTGCTAATTTTTTGTGGAGGTGTCAATGACAATTTCTGGTGTATTCGATGCAGTGGAACTCAATTGAGGACCAGAGGTTCAGTCACAAGAAACTAGCCTCTAGTTGCTTCAGGAAAACCACTCTCTAGCCTCTGTGATTTTCAGTGTGGGTGATCAGAATGGTCCTGGGAGTGATGCTAGACTGCAGCTTTCTCACATGCTGACTGAAGCTATTTTTGCTGTAGTTCAATGGCTTTCAAGGCACATTTTCAGTAGGATAAGACCTAGGCATTTTGTAAAGTTTAACCACCCAGGTACCACAGTTCTTGGCACAAACAACTGATTTTGTGACAGTGGCAAGAAACTTCTTTTTCTTTTCAATCCTGGATTTAGTGGCCAAGTATTTCCGCTTGTACATGGCCTTCTGGAATATATGGCAGATCGGGAAGATCTGTGGACTCCTTTTGGCTGCAATGGAACTTCCCCTTCTTGGGCTTTTTAGCCTTGGGGTCACTTTTTTGAACCTTGCCTCTGGCATCATCATTCTTGGCTGCAGGTTTCTTCTCTTAGGTATCCAGCATCTCAGCCTTTTCACCCAACATCTTGTATAATGGAAATGATAACTAAGGTCTATAGTTCTTATTTTATCAAATCCAGTGATACAAAACCCAAAGAATCCATAATATTGAACTTGCCATGTAAGTATTTTTTAGGTTAGTATGCTTGCATTGCTGAATTGAAGATTATTCCAAGTACTTAGAACAATAACTGTAAAAGAGAAACATCTTGGAGTCAGCAAATGGTGTAGCAGTGGCTTAAAAATCATGCTGGGCAGGTATGTGTGAATGCATGCTCAAGATCCTAGGAAGAGAGTGTAAGAGAAGGGATTGTGGTATATCCATCCCCTTTGGGGGAAGATTTCTCACTTTCCTCCTCACTGTTTTTGTCTCTCTCTCTCTGGAAAGTACATATGGCCTAAGGCAAAAACCTCTCCAAAAAAAAAAAAAGAGAGAGAGAGAGAGAGAAATATCTCTGAGTAACTGAGTATTTTGTTCTCTACAGCAAATAATATATGTGTTATTAATTAGATACCATGCAAAACTGATACAAATGTCCTCCCTGTTTCGAAGTGATAATGTAGGAGATCATAATTAGACATTAAAATGTAAAATTGAATATCACTTTAAAAGTACATTTCTTTTGAAATGAAGCAGATAAGTGTTTGCTCACATTTTAATTTGTTATGCATAGTGAATCACGAAGGTAGTCATTTGTTTTCAACATTACCTGTGAGCTTCCATAATGGCTTTCATATTTTTCTCACTTTTTCCCTGATCTGTTAATTAGATGCATGAGAGCTTCTGTAAACCACTTAGCAGTTGATCTTTTTTTGGAAAAACACTTTTAAAATATTCTTTGACTCACAAAAATGTTTGATGACTTAACGAGAGTAAAAGTATAAAAATAGTTGAAATTGGCCAAAGGCAGCAGACTTTTTACCTGTGCATTGTCAATTTGAAGCATGGAGAATGCAGTACTACATTCTAGAGGTACAGATAGAAAAAAAGATGAATTTCATGGGGAGTGTGAAAGAACCTAAGGAAGATCCATTACCGAGTGAACCAGCCCTATTTAGTTCTTCTATATATCCTACATCACTCCTGTCTTACTCAATTTTATCCGTAATGGGATGTCTAACAGGAAATTTTAGTGTTTACTAACATATGTACTCAAAGTAAAGTCTAGGGAAATTGAATCTCTATTGCCTAATGTCTGTGGAACTTACTACTTCCCTTAAATATGTGTGTTCTGTCAATTCTGATGGTGTTTATAGAATGTTACAACTTTGCCACCCTATCCTAGACATTCTCTAAATTGCAATCTCTATGACAACTGCCTTCTTTCAGCCAAATTAGCTTTCTGGATGGATGATAGACATGGAGCTTTAAGTGGCTTTGGAGAAAAAGTCTCTTCTTGCTTTCAATTTAAACATCAAATTGATCCCCACGTGTGTACAGTGCAATGACACTAATCCCCTATTCAATAGTGGCCTTAGGGCATTTCTGTTTAATCATTGCTGTCCATCTGTGGATCATGTTATCAGTTATTATACTGATGAAGCAGTTTGACTTTCACCAGTTTAGTTATATTATTTTAGACTGCTATCCACATGATTAATTTTTTTTAAGTCTTAAGCTCCAGGTGCAATTTTAATATGTTAGACCTTCTCTTACTAATAGAATCTGTGCAAAAAATTGATATAACTATATTCCTAGAATCACATTTTACCTTGGGAGCTACATAAATGTTCACCATCCTCAAACATGGTGTTAAATACAATTATTACACAGATGTTAGCATATAAATACATTTTTGGCATTTATACATCCTAAAACCACAATACAAATCATGTTCACTTTTGTTATAAATCTTGAATGGTGTTACTAGAAAAACAGATTTTTAAATCAGTCAAAAACCAAATCACACCTTTTCTACTCATCACTAAAATCCTCAGGGATCTTGATTGATTGGCTTGCTTGAAATTTAATGAATGCCTAGCCACACAGCAGTGGGTACTTTTCAAGTTAATCACTTTTAAAATGTACCGAGCAATGGTAGAATTTTTTGAAATTTTTTAATGTATGATTTAACCTTGGTATTTTAAGGACTCTTGGAGACAGCCTGGCTGGCTTATACAGGATACATGTAAACAAGATTTCTACTTGAACACAGTCAAATATATCATACTGCCCCTCCACCCAATAACATACTACATAATTTACTTATTGTGTTTATTATTTATGTTTTCTCTCCCATATAAAAATGTTGGTTCATGAAATCTGACTCCCCAATGTGTCTTAACCACCTAGAGGAGTAGGTGCCCAATAAATATTAATAGAATGGATGAATGAGTCAACTGCTAGAGAGAAATTTTCATTCTATATAGAGTTGAAGCCTCCTGATGTTGCAGTTGATCCACTGCCAGACTCAGGCACTTTCCAAATAGTGTCCTTCTCGCTGAATCACATTTGTGGAACATAATCAAGCAGATCATTGAGAGTAACTATGATCTTTAAAACAAATAAGACCTGTATTATTACTAAGTTTCTTTAGGACACTGATCAAGTAAGTATGTTTCTCTCTACCTACTAAATGGAGAAGAAACAGTAGTCATACACATGTTTCACTAAATGAGATCAATACTATCAATATTTGAAAGTCTCTT